TCCTCGTCACCCGCAACCGGCCCCCGGCCCCCTCACCCCCAGGCGGCGAGCTGCCCCCCATGGACCCAGAGCTCGGCGCCCTCAAGCCCCGCATCCTGGTGTGCGCCCCCTCAAACGCCGCCATAGACGAGCTGCTGGAGAGGATCCTGAGGGACGGCTTCAAGGGGCGCGAGGGGGGCAGCTACCGGCCGTCGGTGTGCAGGGTGGGGGCGGAGGAGGCCCTGAACGACGGGGTCAGGCAGGTGGGGGTGCGCGCGTGCGTGTGTGTGTGTGTGTGTGTGTGTGTGTGTGTGCGCGTGTGTGAGGGGGTGTACGTGTGCATGGGTGTGTGCCCATGTGAGCGCGCGCGTGTGTGTATGTGTGTATGTGTGTGTGTGTGTGTGTGCGCGCGCGAGTGCGCAGGCACGTGCGTGTTGGACGTCAACGCTTGCGGGCGTGTCAGCGTGCGTGCGCGTGTGCGGATGTAATCGTGGTCGCGGATGCGTATGCATCCAGACACGCATGTGGGCGTGCGTTCGCTTGCGCGTGCGCCTTCGCTTGGCTTCTGTCAGGGGGATTGTTGAAAAGGATGCCGTGAAATTGTAGATGTTACCCCTGGCACCCGCAAACACCAGCAAACGGGCAGTTGGTCCGGCCAGGAGCGCCCCTCACCATAACCCCTGATCTTTCCACACTTGCACCAGGTGTGGGCGGAGGAGATGGCGGGACGGCTGCTGGCGCTGCTGCCGGAGCAGTGGGCGGCGGAGGTGGCGCGGTCCGAGGCAGGGGTGACGCAGGCGGTGGCGCGCATCCTGTCGGGCCAGGCGCGGCTGGGGCAGGTGCGGCAGAGTGGGGGGGTCTCATTCTGAGGAGGAGCCGCCAGTGAGCGCAACCGTGTGTGTCCTCGGCACCACCAAATCTGCGAAGCCGAGAACTGTTTCGAGGGCGGCGGCGTGCGACTGCACGGAACAGCCTGAGGCGCTGGCAATAAGCCTCCACACGCACGCGCGCCTGTCTGCGCGCCCACCGGACGCCCGCACCCCCACGTGCCCATCAACCGCCTGAGCCCCCTCTGATGCCATGCCCCATGCGACCCGCGTGCAGCTGCCAGAGGGCGACGAGTTTGCCCGCGCCAGCCGCGACCTGGTCAACGCTTTTGAAGACCACCAGCGCGCCGCTGCCGGCCTGCAACGCCTCCGCGCCGCCGGCCCCTTCGTGCACGACGCCCGCGCCCGCCGCGCAGCGCTCGCGGCGCGCAGCGGCGCCGCTGGGGGCCCCGTCGAGCGGCGCCAGGGCGGGGCCGCTGCCGCCGCGGCGGCGCCGCCGCCTGCCGGCCAGCTTACGGCCGCCGAGGCGTTTGCGGCGGCGCCGGCGCGGCTGAGGGAGGAGCTGGAGGTGGGGTTCACTGACGAGGCAGAGATGGTGTTCACGACGCTCAGCAGCAGCGGGCGCGGCGTGTTTGCGAAGCTGCAGCGCGGCTTCCCGCTGGTGCGCACGCGTGGGCGCGGCGTGCGGCCTTGGACGGAAGGGGACGGGGGTCAGGGTCGGGGCCGCAGCGCGGTGCGGGGCGCCTTGTTGCGCCATTGCTCGCAAAAAGGGAGCGTCCTTGTGCCGACAACCCTTTGAGCAAGCGCCCGCGGATCCCAAGCCCCCGGCCCTCAACACACCCAGCCACTGCTTCCCCCTCCCCGCCACAAATTGTTACACCGCCAATGCAACGCGCCCAGGTCCTCATTGACGAGGCGGCGCAGGCCGCTGAGGTGGCGGGCCTGCAGCCGCTGGTGTACGGCGCCTCCAACGTCGTGCTCGTGGGGGACCCTCAGCAGGTGGGGCATGGGGGGGGAGGGGTTGGGGTGAGGTGAGGTGGGGGGCGGGCAGGCGTGTTGGGGCAGGAGCAGAGGAAGGTGGTTGGGTGGATGTGAAGGTCGAATGAGGGGCAGGGAGGACGGAAGAGGACGGTGGCAAGGGCGTTAGAGGGAGGAGGTTACAGGATGAAGGGGAAGGTGGGGCGCTCTGCTCCCGCCGATGGCTCCCGTCGCGCTGGGTGCGCGGCGCGGCCGCCGCCCGCCGCCCCGACCAGAGCCCTGAGCGCCTCCCGTAAAGCCGCGATTCGATGCCGTGCATTTCCATGATGGGTGGTGCTTTTTGCATCATGGTTGGGGCGACAGGCAAGCCATTGGTCGGCAGTTGCTGCCTGACGCTCGTCACTGACCAGCCCCGTCGCCCAAGTGCTTTCATGGTACTGCGCCCCTCTCGCCTGCATCACGCCTCATACATGCCAACACTCCCTCTTTTTCTGCCGACCGGCAACTGCACCGCAGCTGCCGGCCACGATCCTGTCGAGCAGCGCGCGGGAGGTGCAGATGGAGCGCTCCCTGTTCCAGCGCCTCAGCCAGGCGGGCTGCCCGGTGAGCGGCGCGGCACCGGCGCAGGCGCAGGCGCGTCGGCCTGCCGCAGGCCCGCTTTTTGCCGCCCGCCTCCATGCGTTTCTTGTTGACACCGCCTCCCTCTCTGCTGTCCCGCCACGCTTCGTTTTCGTCGGCCGCGGCAGCCATACGATCAACCCGCCAACTGCCGCCAACCGCCGCCCCAACCGCCAGGTCACCCTGCTGTCCGTCCAGTACCGCATGCACCCTGAGATCCGCGAGTTCCCCAGCGACTTCTTCTACCAGGGCCGCCTCACCGACGCCCCCTCCGTCCTGGCGCGGGAGCCGGCACCCTTCTACTCGGCGCCATGCGGGTGCGGAGCCGGCGGTGGGGCGGCTCCTCAATCGACATAAGAGCGGGGGTGGTCGTCCTTGCCCTCTCTGCGGCTATGGCGCTGCCGCCGGCTGCCCAGATCCAGCATCGTGCCGCACACCCCTTGCGGCGGCCCCTCAATCGACATAGGACCCCTCTCTCATCTCCCCTGCCACTTGTCAGCTCGTTCAACCTCCCCTCGACCCCCGACCCCTCCGACCCGCAAACCACCGCCGCCTGCAGCGTGCTCAAGCCCTACGTGGCCTTCGACGTCGCCCGCGGCGCAGAGCGCTTCGTCGGCAAGAGCGCGCAGAACGAGGCCGAGGCGCGCCTCGCCGTCGCACTCGTTTGGGAGCTGCGCCGCTTCGAGTCTGGCGCCCGCGCCGGCGGCAGCCCCGCCCAGGCGCCTGGCGTGCCCGCTGCCGAGGGCGCGCCCGCCGCCGCTGCTGCGGCGG